CCAGTATCATCGCGCACGGCATTGAGGCGCGCGTTACTGAACGGAGAGGGTCACACTTCGAAGGCGTCCATCTACAGACGCCAGCAAACTGGCTCTGTCTTATGAGAACGTGTCGGCACATCTGAACATGGCTTCCCAGCGTCATGCCACAAGCGGCTACAGACAGAGGCACACGTGACGGTGAAGCGAAGGGGGCATTTCTGCAACTTCCGTTGCGAATGCAAAATAAAATGGGGGAGCCAGAAAGAAAAAATGGGGAAGCAACAGAGGAAGGAACCAAAGATAAATGGAAGATAGAGATCGCACGAGTAGAGACAGAAGTGCTCACCGGAAGGCGGGCTGTAGGGTAGAAGAAGAGGATTCAAATTTAGACGCAAAGAAACCGAGACTTATGAAGACAATGAAAGCGCTGCTTCGAACAGTTCTGTGTTACTGGAGCTGGTCTAAAGAGCATAAACCTTGCAAGGGAGATGGCAGGAAACAAAATGAAAGGACAACGAAGCAAAGGCACGAACAGTGCAAGAAATAAAGAAGATTGACGGACGGACAAGGGAGGGGCAGCGTGCCGTGACTCCGTTAGCTGGACGCGTCGCGACGTACAGCTCCATCGGGTGGCTAAGGCTTTCGGCACGTTTCACAAAGTGCGCGACGTATACATCAGAACATGGGCATCTGCCCCCTCCCCCTGGGGGCATTTTTGAAAAAGAAAGAAGAAGAAGAAAAAAAAGGAAAAACACAATTGCAAGGATTAAGGACCTATGTTGAACATTAATACGTGAAACTGAAACGACTTCTTCGTGTTCATACTATAATCTTGAATACGAAGGGCGTTAGATAAAGCTGTAACTGCTTAAAGCATGTCTCTAAGCAAATGTTATGGCTATTCTCCACCCCAGAGGAATCTCCTGCCCCCGTCTTCAGGATAGAAGAATAAACCTTCTGTCGTATTCGCGGGATGCGAACCACATACTGGGAATCTAGAAAACTGTCAAAATTATTAGTTTAGTGATATCTATAAATTTCTGCTGTCGTCTGGTATGTGCCGCCGTGTAGTCTGGTAGAAAGTGAACAAGATTTCGAAAGACGCCTTCTCCCTCGCTCTCTGAGGGCAGGGAACACAGCCTTCCATTGGTCCGCTTGCAAGACCTTTCCCTTTCCTCGTTTTCCTGCGTGGCCTGGTCTTCTACCCTGAAGATGGCAATTTTCTATCGGACTGAGCCATGCAGTGGCTCCGGTATGACGTCATGGGCTTCCAGCCCCTTGATCGAGGTTCTTAAACTTATCCCCCACCCCATCCCCATGCGGGACTGGGTCACGTGGTGTTGCCCTCTCCCCTCCTTTCTACCCCTGGGAGCCTTGCTTGGAAGTTAATTCGAGTTGGGAGTTCAGTTCTGGTTATGGATCCATAGGGCCTTGCTCGCGGCGCCGAGCCAGCCGGAGCGACTGTCAAATTCCTGTTCGGCTGGGAGTCCAAATTTGGTTTCGGCAAGTACTGGGCTGGTTCGCGGCCGACGAGATCGCCCGCGGTCGCCCGTCGTTGGGTTTGTAGGACGGCGGCGACTCGTACCAGTTTGGTTAAATCTGTTTTTATAATTTATATTGTGTATTTAGTTTAGACTCAGCCTGTGGCCCGGCTATA